ACATCTACCACATGACTGTTAATTCAGCTGAAAAATTTCTCTCTTACGATTCCATAAACCCTGCATTTTCCCCGCCTCCACGCTCTGTCCTCGGTACTCCAGACTTTATGACTCTGAGGGTATGAACGGCTGAGTCAGGTGTTCACTCTACTAACACTGTGTGGTTTTCCTTTTGCCTGGCTATTAACATGGGAGAAAAACCCTTGTAAGTGGTTTCCTTCACCCCGTAACTTTCTTCTGTCCCAGCTGATTTATTTTCTGCTCTCAGCTGTGGTCTTTCCACAGCTCTGACATGCCAAGAAACAGATGCTTCATGGCTTTAAAAGAAAAGAAGTGTGTAACAACTGGGCTGAACCTTTTGCTATGAGAACAGCATTTTTTAATCGCCAGGAAGGATATGGGCATTTTGAATGTTCTCTGTTCCACAGTGTTCCTGCTTCAGTGTTCCTCCGTCAGTGGCAGGATGCTGTGTATCAAGGTGCATTAGGAAAAGGTTCTGGATCTATCTGTGTTGGACCAAACATCCAAATTGTTTGTTTATGATGAAGTCATGTGGAGTGCAAGAATTTTTACACAGTACTGTACACAGATTAAGACAGACACAGGTTGTGTCTTAGTTTCTAGGTTAAAGTAAATAAGTGAAATCAGAACATGTACAAGCAAGATCAAAAATTAAATATAATGGTGACTTGCTGATGTAGGACCTCTTAATCTTGGTAGTTTTAAGCAGAGGCTGAGGTAAGGTACTGTTCTGTAGATATCCTTCCAGTTGGAATGTAAATTGGGGAGATGCAAGTGATCTCTTTTTTCTTGTATTGTGCATCCTGGTCTGACTACATGGGAGCTGCTAGGTCCTGTAGAAACACAAGCCATGCCAAAACAGGCACAGAAGTCCATGCTGCGCCTTGTAACTGTGTACTGTGCTGTGGCCTGCAGTTCTGCTTGGGATAGATTTGCAAATAAATCAGAAATAATCTGTGAGGTAGATGTACGTGATGGTGGTTGGTTGCTCAGGGTTTGTGTGGGTCTGAGCCATGTCCGTTGCTGTAGTGGAAACACTGCTGTTGGTTTCTGTGGCCTTTGGACACCCTTCAGACACGGATGGCAAACCTTCACTGCCAGACTGCTTCGAGTGCCTTTTGGTTGCTCTTCTAGATCCCTATCACCGGGAAGGTTTTTGGATACATACCTGCATACAACACTAGAGAGAATTTAAAAGTGTGGGAAGAAAATTAATGTCTCCCTTATGGCTACAAAACAAATTTGCTCAGCTAAGCTTTCACTGGTCACATGAATGGTTGTGTGTCACTGTTGCGAAGTCCCAATTGTCACAACCATTAATATTCAAAAATGAAGTTGCAGCGTTTTGGAAAATGTGCCCTTTGATGACAGGTCTGCATTCATCCTGGCTTTCCTGGTAGGAGGAGAGATGCAAATACACAAGAGGAATGCTCTATTGAAATGCAAAAATAAAAAAATTGTTATCTGAATAGAAATTTGTTTCTCTCTTAGAGGGTCATTATAGGGTCACTGAAGCTGCATTTCAGTTCTGGCTTTCACAGGGTTTTTTAATCCAACTGTACTATAAAATTTTCGGTGTTTAATATGAAGTGATACATCACCAGACTGTGACCCACCCTCTATCTTCACTGGGATAAGTAAGGAATTACACCTGGTGTTTCAGACAATAATTCTTAATTTTTGCTTTAGGAGCATCCTTCATCCTAATGTTGCAGCCTGCTAGCATAAATTGGAGAAAAAAAGCGAAGCGGGCAACCTGGAGTGTGGAAATCTTGTACCTGTTAGCTCCTGAGAGCACTAGAGGTTTAGTCTTGGGTGAAGAAAAGGGTTTGTCTCCTTTGTGGCTTGAGGGCAGAGATGCTGTAAGCTGTATGGAAAGCAAGGCTGTGAGTTTTGGGTTCGTGTCTGTCCATCCACCCTTTGTGTTTGGAGATTTTAATGTCAGAAGGCTAGTGCTCCCTCCGAGGGGACCATGGTCCCAGGTACGGATGGGATATAGGAACCAAACCAGCATGGAATCCACAGGGGAGTTGAAAAATGACCCTTTAAAGTAGGCTTTTAGATTTTGTCATATTATTCCATGGAAGAATTAAAAAGCTCAGGTTTATAATGTAATGAACAGAAGGCTACTTAGAAAAAAGTTAGTTAGACCCTATGTGTTCTCACACCATTAGCTGAGAAGGAAACGTGGGAGCATTTAATGTGGGTGTGAGAGCTGAGGCTCGGTGACACCGCAGAGCTGTGAGCATAGCAGTGATTGCACGTACATAACCCACAACTCCACAGCAGCTACGTTCTCTGGCTGGGAATGGGATGCACTGAACTGATTTGGATCTTTCACTGTTTCGCAGTGATTAACTTTGCTCAGCAAGCAGCTTCTCTGCTGCTGATTTTTTTTTTTTT